TAACGAAGTATCATCCGCAAACAGCACTATATCTGCAATTTTCTCTACCATAAAGGGAAGGTCATTTATGTAGATTAAAAAGAGAAAGGGAGCATAGAATGGACCATCTCTTCCTGTCTCGTGGTTGTCGTAAAAGGCGACTAAGGGGGCTTAATAGTTAAGGGGAAAGGGTAGCAGCGTCCTTTTTAAAACATCACCAAAGCCTAACTGCGGTTGTCAACCCGCCTGCCAAACGTGGCAACTACTGGCAAAACAGTTAACGGCTGATATAATGAAGGTGATCCGTACACTTATTTGTGATAACCATGTTTCGTTATTGATCTCCAAGCGTATGCTGTACCTTTATTCTGTGACCAGGTGTATAACATATGAGGCAAATCCATAAATCTTTAAAAAATATACCACACTCAGCCATTTTGACATAAGTGACTGTGAATAGAGGCTAATTTTACCAGAACGAGACTTTGTACAAAGTCAATTGCTTGGGTACCTCTGTCCCATTCGTGTTTCAACCGTAAAGCAGTTGTGTTTGCATGGCTGTGTCTCCGTTTGAAGGATGGGATATGGCGTGAATTTACTGGGTACGGAGGAATAACCTGAGTCCTCAGGAATGGCAACGCATGGGTGATATCATGGTTGAAACAGTATACTCTGTTATGTCCATGGTACTGCTCATGTGTATAGGCGACGGTTACCACTTTCCATCAGGTGGGCCGGCAGCTTGTTTGCTATTCTAAGTTGTATAAATCTAATAGACCAGGTTCAATATGGCTTACAAGTGTCGAACCTTTAAGTCTTAGAGAGATTTTACCTTGTTCGTTTGTTCTACCGCTTGTACAACGGGTTGTGCTCAGAGGAATTGTTCAATATGATGCCCACGGCCACTTTCTACCATCATACAACTCCCTATCGACAGGGAGTTCATCCCGATATCCTGTATACGCACAATTAAAGTTTTTTTTTTTAATTAGCAAGAATTCAAACTAATTATTAAATATTTATAAAAATAAATTGGTATAAAAAAATGGCTCATTCAACATATATTTTACTATTTTTGTTTTATTTACAATTATTTCATAATACATCATTTCGTTAAACAGTTTTGACTGAAATGCACATACGATATTGTTGCATTGTCGAAAGAATTAAATTTTATATATATATATATATATATATATATATATATATATATAATAAAAAAAATATTATAAATAATAATTAATTTATATAAAATAAATTAAACAATTATACATGGAAAATTATACATATAAAATTGATACGAAATATATTATAGTGAGTATTTTATATTAATAAAACCAGATGGCTTAACGACGTGAGTAATTGTGTGCGGTTTTATGTATGTATCATGCTGCCAAGTTCATTTATACTTCACTCTCATGTCAGTATTTAAGACCGTTCAGTGTTTAGTGAAACAAATACATCAATGTCCATAAAAAATATATATTTCTCAAACATGCTTGGAAATGTGAGCATTATTTTGACAATCTTCTTCGAGATAAATCAAAATTGCCGTACTGGCCAGATACATGCGAGCAGCGGCCGGCAAAAGTTGTATGAAAATCCATATCTGTCGTGTTTTGCGGCCAGATAAATTACTATGTAAACTCATATCTGTCCTGTAATTTAAAAATGGAATGACCTTTTACTTTGAAATATGGCTACCAAGGAGGTAACTAATAAAAGGTTTTATTTAAATTTCGAACTGGCTTGCAAATAGAATGCTGTTTATTGAAAAAAAAAAAAAAAACAAAGGAACAATATGGCGCGTGAAACATTATTATTGTACGTAATTCGTCATTGAACTTAAAAAAGTAAAATTGTGTTTTTGATTTCCGCGCATTGTTTGAGAAAAGTACTATACAAGCCTTGGCCACAACTAGGCATTGATGCACCTCACGTATGTGTGCCTCGTCTGCGCCTCGGCCCACATTTGTACGTTCGTCCATCAATGCTTCAGTTGCTGGCCGCTGCAGTAATGTACTATTAACACACTACTTTAAAATTGGATTTTTTAATGTATTGATTCTATAGTCTAATTTCAACAGAACTTTAATTAGAATATATGCAAATATATAGCGGCGGTATAGAATTGGCCACCCGTTCCTTTCCCGTGGGTGTCGTAAGAGCAGACTAAGGAGGGCAAGGGATGGGCAGCAGCGTTCCTCTTAAAACATCTATAAAACCTGACTGCGGTTGCCAATCTGCTCGCCAAGCGTGGCAATTACTGGCCAAATTCTTTCCAAGGGGAGGATTATGTCCAGCAGTGGACAGAATATGATGATAATTAATAAAAATGTAAAGAAATCATTAACAGATCTGATCGTAAGACAGTATGCTGGTATCCAATAATAGTCTAGAAAAAAATCGATTAATTGATCTAGTGTTTTCATTTATTAGTATAATAACATTAAGAGAGCGTGTCTGTGATAATTATTAAAAAAAAATGTTTTTTTTTTCCATTTAAGTTCTGTTGAAAGAGACTAAGTTCATTTTACATCCACGTACATCTGAGTTGTGGAATGTGTTCCCTTTCTCACTTTCCCTCTTACGTTAATCACGTTTTTTGAAGTCTTTATCTTAATGATATGAGACTTCAAAAAACGTGTTTACAAACATTTAAAAGACCTGCGACGCGCAAGCGACTCCTCTCGTGTTGCAGGTGTTTATGAATGACGGTAGCCGCTTTCCATCAGGTGGACCGTCTGCTCGTTTGCCTCCCTAACGATAAAATAGAAAAACATTAAAAATGTAATGTATTCAAAACCTCTAACTTGGTTTATCTCTCATTATTTTTGTTAAAAGATTATATTTATTCACAGTCGTCGGCTATTAAGAAACATCGTGGGTGCTCATGCTTTTTTAATAATTAAATAAATAAATAGAAACATTTATTGCCAGTAAACATACAATTACAATATAAAATATAAATAACATATACAAAAAGTGTCCCATACTAGGCAAAAGGAACCGGCTCAGCTGTTGCTGCGAGTGTCCCAGCGCAATGTGAACAGCTGCACAGCGCTGGTTTTCAGCCAGTTCCTCTCTTAACAAAACAACCAAAGTGCAGGGTGCCACTGTAAATTAGGTACATCACCACTATTTTAGCTAAAGGACATTGCTTGCTGGACAAGTAAACGCGACTTGAATAACATATAATGAGGATTATTCTAGTTATAGTGGAATCTCGATTGTCCGGATATCGAGATGTGTACAAAAGTCGTTTGCTTGGCTACCTCTGTCCCATTCGTGTTTCAACTGTGAAGCAGTTGTGTTTGCATGGCTGTGTTTCGATTTCACGGGTGGGATATGGCGTGAATTTACTGGGTACAGAGGAATAACACCTGAATCCTCAGGAATGGCAACGCATGGGAGGTATCATGGGCGAAACAGTATACTCTGTTATGTCCGTGGTACTGCTCATGTCTATAGGCGACGGTTACCACTTTCCATCAGGTGGGCCGTCAGCTTGTTTGCCATTCTAAGTTGTATAAAATAAATACTGATTCAGAATTGGTATTATGTTGTATTGTTGTATTGGGTAAATAGGTATTATATTTATAGCTTCTAGTTTTTTTATATCTTATTGTCGTAAGTGACGTATGTAAAAAAAAAAACATTTAAATTTAATTACATATTGTTCGATTTGTCTTTGAAATCGATTATCCGGATTTCCGATTATACGGAATAATGGAGATTCTATTGTATATTACATCTAGCGTCATGGTTCCCCGAGCACCCACCGAGTCGTACTCTTCCCCTCCCTTGTACTTAGGAATCTTAGATTATATAGATAGTGTATCCATAGAAATGTTTCGAGAAAAACTGGTCAACTTTTTTATACAATTTTGCGTGATAAATATGTAGTTTTGCTTTTAAGCAAAACTATCACTGAGCTGTAGCTTATTTGAGTCACTGCGACACACTTGGTGAAAACATATCTCCACCCTTCATCTTTTGTTTTATATTTGAAAAAATGTAAATAATCTGATTGTATAAAGTCATTTGTTAATTTACGTGTGTCATAAATGGCTCGAATAAAGTGTTTATCAATCTTTATCTATTTAATTATGAGTGATTCTTTTATAACTTCTATATTTGTCTTTTTTTTATTCTTTATTCTTTATTGTACACAAAACATACTGTTAATCACAATTCATTATAAACATAATGTACAAAGGCGAGCTTATCTCTAATAAGAGATTTCTTCCAGCAGATGTCTTGTAAATTCTGCATCTTTTTAATGTGTAAACACTCATTTTATTTATTGAATAATAACGCCAAGATACATTTTATGCGTAAATATATATAACATTGATAAAAAAAATGAGTTTGCTATTTGACAAAAAGTTGACCTGTTTTTGAGGTTCGATGCTCTATCTATATAATCCTAGTTAGGAATATATATACCAAGGGAGTAACAGATAACATTGCCAACTTGTTGCAACTTACATAATCATTACATTATCATTCTCTTACATTCTATACATTTCAGTATTTGCTAACCTGTTTTTGTATTTTTATGCGTGCTCTGGATTGAGGTAACGTTTGATATTGAAGTGAGATAATTTAATATTATATGACAGGCATCTTGTAAGATACCACTCTTGTCTATTTCTTCTAAACAAGCATTGCATGGTTTTTTTTTCTTTTAAGAAACTCCATTAGTCTTGGGCAATCCTGTTAAATTAATTTTTTTCGAATATTCCAAATTGATCGATATTCCTTTTTTAAATACTAATAACACCCGTCAAAATTTAACTGTCTAACAAGTTTTTATAGTTTTTTTTTTTTTTTTATTTTGTCCCTATAGTCATTACATTTATACATAATCTTTTCGATATTCGATGTTCGAAGATTAAATTCAAATTTGTAAGATGTTCTTTAAAATTTGTCATGCGGCAACAAATTCATGGAAATGTTGCTATTTTAATAAAGAAAAAAAGGTGCAGTTCTTTATCTAATACTATTGTCTCTTACAGGTCTTCTCCGCTACAAGGTAGACTTCCAATCCATGCAGTTGGACGACGAAGAGATCGACAACCTGTACGACGTAGACGACTATTAAACGGTGCACGTTCGCCGAGGCGCGTCTCATCGGGCCTAGTCTCGTGAGATATGTGCCTCGTGAGAACTGAGCCTCGTCGGGAATGGCCTCGTTTTATACCGTGTAAGACAGCTTTAAGAAACATTGAATATTTAAGTCATTTTTGATATCAAATGTTTGTGTAACAAGGTTAACGTTATGTGGTTTGCAGGGGTATTGTTGTAAGATTTCTAAATAATATTATAAATGTGAGTTGAGTTTGTTTGTTTGGTGCCTCTTAACGCCTTTACGACTCGAGTAATTTGTAAAAAAGAGAAGGATATAGACAATTTTTTATTCTGGCCAATGAATATAGTGCAGTCACGCGGAGTTATTTGTATTAGGAGGATTGTTTTTCTCACTTGTCTATGGGTATTATATGGGTGTTTTAGTGACCCATAGTAAAATTATTGTAGATTACTGAAGCAATACAATAATATATTTTATTACAATTTTCAAAAATACACTTGAAAATATTTTAAATGCATAATTCTTAATTTGGGAATCTTAAACTGTTAATACAGGTGGCAAGATATGGGTTTTGATACCCATAAACTAGAGTTGTCGAGGGGTAAATTTATAATAGAAATAAAAAAAACTGTATATAAATCTCATTACCTTTAAATGCTCAATTATGTAATGCAGTAATATTATTATGAATTCTGAATGTAATTTGGTATGAATCTAAAATATGTACCCGTATTAATAAAAAAGCTTACAAAGCTGTCCAATGTAATAATCGATTATTGATCAATCGATAGTGTTGCCCGGATTAATCTGAGAATCGATTGGGCATTCGATTTTTTCTTTTTTTTTTTTCCTTTAAAGGCTAACTAAAATTTAAAACTTGAAGTTTGTGAGATTGCTAGAATTTTGATGATTGCCAAATGTGGCAGTGATAAAATTAAACAACTTTGACAAGCAATAATCCGTAAACTATAAGGTAATAATAGGTATTAATATTATTCTCAACTAGCGGCCCGTCCCGGCGTCGCACGGGTGGACATTTTTAACATTACCCTTCACTGCTCTGCTCCTATTGATCGTAGCGTGATAAAAGTGTACTATAACCTGCCCAGGAGTATGAACAATAATTGTACCAAGTTTCGTTAAAATCCGTCGAGTAGTTTTTATTTCTATAACGAACATACAGACAGACAGACAAAAATTTTACTGATTGCATTTTTGTAATCAGTATCAATCACTAATCACCCGCTGATAGTTATTTTGGAAATATATTTCATGTACAGAATTGACCTCTACAAATTATAAGTGTAGATTACATTCGATTATAACATTTGTCTATAAACGATTATATGCATATCGATTGCCCAATCGATTGTTCGTTATTTTTATTCGGGACCCGAATCGGACTCGATTAATAATCGATCACCAACGATATCCTGCAACGCAAAGTTCAAAACAAACACGGTATAAAACAACGCCAGAATATTGGCCGCATTCAGAACTGTGTCGCAATGTTGTGAACGAATTTTGAATAAGTGTTTTTATTAATTCGAAACGAGCCGAATGCGTTTATGAGTGATCAAGTAACGTGTCACTACGAGGATGATCCATTTGCCAGAAGTCAATTCTGAAATTAGAATTCAAAATGAGATTGTGTATTATATGTATATTTGTTGCAGTCAAAACTCTTAACCAGTCAAAAGTGGTTTTGACTGAAAATTATTGGTTACTAGCGGCCACTGCTCTGCTCCTATTGATCGTAGCGTGATGAAAAGTATACTATAACCTGCCCAGGAGTATGAACAATAATTGTACCAAGTTTCATTAAAATCTGTCGAGTAGTTTTTGTTTCTATAACGAACATACAGACAGACAGACAGACAAAAATTTTACTGATTGCATTTTTGGCATCAATATCGATCACTAATCACCCGCTGATAGTTATTTTGGAAATATATTTCATGTACAGAATTGACCTCTCTACAGATTTATTATAAGTATAGATATAGATCGCGAGGAGGTCGACCTGGTTGGGTATATTGCTAGCCATGAGATTCTCAGTCTCCATCACTAACAATCCCTTTCCCCCCGGTTAGGTTAGGTTAGGTACCTTTAACTGTTAGTCAAAAGTACTATTGATCAAAGCATACGGTTAAAAATACATTTGACTGATTTTGCTAGTCAATAAGTACTTTTTTTTTATTCAACTTAGAATGGCAAACAAGCTGACGGCCCACCTGATGGAAAGTGGTAACCGTCGCCTATAGACATGAGCAGTACCGTGGACATAACAGAGTATACTGTTTCGCCCATGATACCTCCCATGCGTTACCATTCTTGAGGACTCAGGTGTTATGCCTCTGTACCCAGTAAATTCACGCCATATCCCACCCTTCAAACCGAAACACAGCCATGCAAACACAACTGCTTCACGGTTGAAACACGAATGGGACAGAGGTACCCAAGCAATCGACTTGGACAGTCTCCCTCTGGTTTTGACTGGTTAGAGTTTTGACTGCAACATATTAAATTTGAATAGTCCACATAACTGTTATAGATTCAGATTTTAATGTGTTATTATAGAATCTGTCTCAGAATTCAGAATTATTATTGTTGAGAATGTGATTATTTGTGCGTAGTTTTATCATTTGTCACTCTGACAAATCGGCTCCATTGAATTGTTACGTGACAGATTTCTGCGTGCGGCCTTAGTATGTTTTTTTTAACACAAAGCAAACAATTATTACGTATTTAGTGTCGAGTTAAACCGCTGTATTTATATAATGATAAAAAAAAGATATTTCACGGCCATTTTTATGGTTCCGTAGCGAATGGCAAAGAAATAAATCTTTCGTGTATTAAAATGTGATATATTTTACAATAGATTTAATTTAAAGAAATTTATGTTAAATTAAATTATTCAAGTGTCCTATAATAAGTAAATGGAACTGATTTTTTTTTTGTTTATAATATTGTTGAATATTTTTTTTTAAATTAAATTACAAAAATGTATTTGTGTACCATCATCAGCATATTAGCCCTTAACTGTCCACTGCTGGACATCGGCCTCCCCCATGAAGAGAGGGTTGTAATGTGCCAATAGTTGCCACGTATGTATGTCTTTGTATATTAATAATATATAAGAATAATTCATCCCATTTGCCGTAAGCTACGGATCCTTAAATTGTCCATGTGGTAATGGCCGATTTTTAACGTATTTATTATTTCAATTGAGGGTAAGTCGATTACGGTTCGTTTAATTTTGTTGTACATTAAATACACTGATATACTTCAATAAAAAAAAAAAAACAACCCATTACCCATTCTTTGTCATTTTTAATTTATTATACTTCTGTGTATTGTGTCTTATCGACTTACCCTTTTTGCGATTAACAATTATTTATTTTGAATTCAATATTAATAATTATAAAGTTAATTTTCGAATAATCGGTTCGCATTTTTTTCTTTTCTACCGTCATGCATTCCTAGACAAACCAAGGAACTGATATCTGTTAAGCCTTATGTATTGCGAATAAGTCACAAAATTGAACGCAACGTGCCTTATGTGGGTGTGCGTCTTCCAATACGATTTTACGTTCATTGTGCCTTGTTTGGTTATTATACCTTGTAAATTAGTAAATTTATAGCATATTACGATCGCTGTTGCCACTTTAGTGACTTTCTGGCCAAATCTGGCAACTTTGGAAGTTGTCAGCCCCGAAATTTTTTAATATCAGTAGATAAATTTGTCACATACTATCAATTTGTCCAACTACTTGTAAACGTAGTAACGTTTTTAATCACTATTGCAAATATTTAAATGTACCAATCTAGATACTTTCGGGTGCTATTTAGCTAGAAAGTTCGTAACAGAACTGGCAACATTGATTATGAGCTACTTAGAAAGAGACGGCCAAGTTGCACTGTAGTTGTTAGAGATAGCATACATAAGCGATTTTTCGTCTCTATTCCACTTTAGCTATTCATAAATTTTAAATTAACGGTGATCACTCACAACGTGAGCGCTTATTTACATCACCATAAACTTGTCATAGTGACAAATTGTCACTCTAATAGTGCATTCTTTGTAGACATTAGCAAGTGACAAGTATTAGCAAAATTGGCAACAGTGACAATTGTCGTCCGTATATTTACTCTCTAATGCAATATGCGGTCCATACGTGTATCTTTGTCGCTTTAAAACACCATAATATAAAAATTAATAACAAAATTGTCATATTGACAAATTGTCTTACTGATACCGTGTCACGATGACAAATTCTCACAACGATCTGAAATAACAAATAATAATGGAACCTATGATTTACACGAACGTAATATGTCACGAAATTAGAGGAATTGTTAAATTGTCACTGAATTATGTTCAATAAATTGAAAATACAAACGATTTAGGGTTTTATTGGTCCCGATATAAGGTTCAATTTTAATTACGAACATGAAGAGAAGCAATATGAAAATTTGCTTCTAACTTAATTTTGACATCACTCTTTATTCGGTTATTGGAATAGCTTTTAAATATATCAGCGGGTCTACCATGAAATGAAATTCCGAATTTTGGGACTCAATATCGTGTTTTTGTTTACGCCAAAATCGGACCAATAAATGGAGTTTAACATTTCGTTCGTCATACATGCTATCATAAAAGTCCAAAGGAACGATATTTTAACATTTTTAATATTTCCAAACGGCATTATTATGTAATTTTAACATCAAATTTCTGTTTCATTTGACTCCGAAATTTTGGAAAACATTTCATGGTAGGCCCTCAGGCCAACTTTCGAAACGAAGTTGGCTAAAAAATTGGATGAGGAATAATTGAGATGTACTTGTTAATTTTTTTTTTTTAATTATTCCGATTTCATATTAATTGAATAATAAATTCTAGTATGAGCTTTGAATTTGTATAATCTAGGCATTAATAGATAGAAAAACAGCGCGCTATAATGGTTCCTTTGTAACTTTTCAAGCACAGAACCCTAAAAATAATGCGCATACGCACTTAAAATTGACGAGTGCATAATTTAGTTAGCGCTTTATTTTCAGTGCAGTTTTTAAGTTTTTTTTTTTTTATAAATCAATGAAAGTAGGTAAATAAAAACTGATGTCATTTTTTTTTATCTAATTATTATTTTTTTGTTTCAGCCATTTAATTTATACTTAATATAGGCTCCTCTATTCTGCCGTTATATATTTGGCGTCTGTGAAAACTGTTGTAAACAATAATTTAGCATATTTTTCACAAATTTCCCTACGACTAGACGTCTTTTCTTAATGTTGTATTTTTTTTTTTTTTTATTTTGATCGGGGCGACGACGTCGGCGAGGAAGGTTTTAGCTAAATGTTACTGATTAGTATAATTACCATGCAATGTTAACATTAGACGACTCTCTGGACTGTACGCGATAAATAATAAAATGCTGTAGATAAATGGAGTTCGTTTTATTTATTAACCAGCGGGTGTATCATGAAATTCCGAAATTTCGGACTCAATTTCGTGTTTTTGTTTATACCAAAATCGGACCAATAAATGGAGTTTAACATTTCGCTCGTCATACATGCTATCATAAAAGTCCAAAGGAACAATATTTTAACATTTTTAATATTTCCAAACGCCATGTATTATGTAATTTTAACATCAAATTTGTGGTTCGTTTGACTCCGAAATTTCGAAAAACATTTCATGGTAGGCCCCCAGGATACATGCCTCGGCAATGAGTCTGTTAGAACCCATTACTAACAATTCCTTTTCCCTCAATACCATTTAATTTTCACCCATTAAAAGAAAAAACTTATGGGAAAGGCCTGTTCAGCAGTGGTCAGTTAATCGTTGATGGTTAACAATGATCTTTATATAGTGTAGATGAAAATATGAGCGGAATTTTGAAATTTTAAGATTTTGACTCACGGTTCAAAACAAAGTTCGCAAAAAATAGATACTACACGCGAGCAGTCGCAGGCAGAAACTAGTCGCGGCATATGTGAGTGCAAGTAGTTGTGGAATAGAATGTGGTATTGCAGGTGTTCATAGGCTACGGTAACCACTTACCATCAGGTGGGCCGTATGCTTGTTTGCCACCTCAGTGGTATAAAAAAAAAGTACATTTTGTTTAAATATATACAAAAAAAAAAATCACAGACTGCAATCTTGGAAAAAGTAATTATTTTAATTAAAAAATTAAATTACTGAACCGATATTGATGAAATTTCTATGGGACCAATTTCAATTCAAGTGTATCCCTTCACATAAGAATGTTTCAAACCTATAAAAATATATAATTCAGACGTCGTTCAATTTTAGGTCAGTTCTAAAACTAAAAATCTTTTTTTTTTGTGGGTGTCTAAAGAAAAAAAAGTTGAAAGATTCCTAGAATTCAGCTGAAAAAATTAAAATAAATTTGTGTGTGTGTGGGTCAACTCTGGACCCGCCTTAATGGTAAGGGGAGACGAAATAGGGGCATCGGGACAAATTCCATTGCCCCGCCATCTCCGAAGCCACTGCCTCCCGAGTCACTGGGTTTTAAGCAGACACACTGGTGTATAATAAATTTTATATGGGAATCGCTACTTCCAATTACTTTTAACAGATGGCGTTATACGTGATACGCCATACTCGGGTCATCGAGTCTATTTATAAATAATGACGGAATACGGAGGAAACGAACATAAAAAATACAAGCAAACTGAGGACTTCCTCGCCTTTCTTGAAATCGATTGTAAAACAGAAATTTACTTATACAAAACTTGCTTTTGCTAGAATTTGATATATCCGTCGCATGTCGAGTTATTATTAATACCTATAATAAAATTGAAACTAGACAATGGTCGATTCTGGGTGACCATTTCTCTAAATTTTTTTTTTAAACTTTATTGACCAATAAAACGTAGTACAAAAGGCGTACTTAATACTATAGGCATTCTCTGCCAGTCAACCTTTACTGTACTAGCAATAAAACTGGTAGTCCGCTTAGCGATAAAGGGATTATTAGCAGGCAGGTATTCCTGGCAGGTTGATCACCACGAGCCCCCCTGGCAACCATCGTACTGAATTGCAGATGTGTTCATCACGATGGGCTAATTGACTTGCTTTCTTCGTCACTTATCATACCTAACCACAACCCCCACTTCTGGGCGAAAGGGATTATTAGTAATGGAGACCGAGAATCCCATTGCTAGCAATGTACCCAACCAGGTCGACCTCCTCGCGGTACCCCCTGGAAACTATCATGGTTAATTCCTGATGAATTCATCATGATGGGCTAACTGGCCTGTTTTCATTCTCATCTATCTCCTTTCACTGGTGCCCCGCCAGCGTATACCGTTAACCCAGACGGCAGCCATTCCATTATCACCCATAAAAAAAAAACGAATAAACTGGTGCATGTTTCACCTCGATACGCCATCTAGTGGTATGCTTAATTAGTATTTCCTACTTCTGAAATTCACGTACGAAGCAGCGGGCGAAAGCTAGTAAAATGTAAAATTAATCATTACTCGCGACTTTTTATTTATTTATTTATTTAATACTTTATTGTACTGATAATATATAAAAATAGGACAGAGGTTATCAAATGAACAAAGGCGAGTTTAAAAGAGTTCTCTTCCAGCAACACTCAAAGTGGAAAGAAGCATCAACGCCAGCGGGTAGAGATTTTTAATGAGTGAAAAAGAAATATGTAGATTACCTGCGTGAATTGTGATAAAAGTACCCTTTTTTACAACACAGGTGGCAAACGAGCATGCGACTCACCTGATGGTAAGTGACTACCGCCGCCCATGATCACCCACAACACCAAAGGCATTGCAGGTGTGCTGCCGGCCTTTTATAAAGGAATATGCTCTATGACTAGAGGATCTTAATGATCAAGGGATGAACAGTAGCGTCTTTCTTGAAACATCAGTAAAGCCTAGCTGCGGATACCAATACTTTGCCAAGCGTGGCAACGACTGGCATAATCTTCCTTACTCTCCTATAAGGAAGGCCTATGTTCAGCAGTGGACACGTAATGGCTGAATAATAAAATGTGCAAATTTACTAAACGACCCATTTTTGTACCAAATATTATTTCAATATATTTAACTGTTAAAATATGATTGCAAGCAAGTTGGATTGTTCTTACATTGGTCACTGTTGTGGTACCTCAAATTACCAAGGTACCTCTTTTAGCGATGACCAAATTTGTTTAAAAAAACAAGATTTTTATTTATTTGTTTTATTACAAAACAAAATTGGGTCATTGTAGCATGCAATAATAAAGATTATTAACAAACATGTAAACATTAAGCCATCTTTATCAAACTTCCGTATTTCTTCTAAGACATATAAATATTATATTAGACAGATAATATTTAAATTTAGAACGCGCCATCGATAAACATTTTTCTGCGCCGCAAGGAAACGACAATAAAAAAAAAAAACAATATTTATATAAATGGATTAGATTAAAAAAAAAATTAGAATACGCAATCTTATATCTATAAATATATTTTGATTAGCAACAAACGATTGTCTGACAAAAAATGGCAATTTTATACATTGCAAAATTAGTATGGACTGAAAACTATTTATTGCATAACAATATTATCAAAATGACGTAACACAGCCACAAAATTACAGATCAACCTGAGTATAACATTGTGGAAACCATTTAAAAATATACCTTAATCTAATTTAAATAAAAAAAAAATTAATAAAATATATATTTTGCTGAAATATTGGGCTTAGATATTTACTTATCATATTTCCTTAATTTAAATAGTTTAAGGAAAATAAAATTTATAATAAGTAACTCTATCTGCCAAGATAATATTTTCCGTTATCTTGGTCGAATCAAAAACGAAACAAAAGTAAGCCCTTCTCGGTCACGCAAGTGGCGCAGGCATCGCCGTCGAACAGCCAAAAATTTTCCATTGCGGCCTCCTCACTGTACGGAAAAAAACTTAAAAAGGTCGACGTACAAAAACTATGATGATGCAACGGTTTCGATTCGAAAGTATATTTTTTACTCGGCTCGTGTTTCAGGGCCGTGCCTTTTTGTTTGATTAGTTGCTTCAAATGTAACTACTCGAAAATCGTTTATCAATATTGGTGCATTGCTGTATAATAACTTTGAGGTTCTTTTTTTTCTAAATATATTTCAATACAGTTTGTGGTTTCGCTTTCTTTACTTTTAAACTTTTTTTTTAACAGTAGATTGGCCCTTTTTTACTCCAGCGCCGTAAAAAGAAAATTAATGTTATACATAATTTTGGTTAGTACATACGAGTATATGTGATTTTTTTGGTGTTTACAGGTATTTTAGTAAATAGAGTGTATTTTTTATAAGTACATAAAATAATTTTGACCACTATAATCTGGGTATACATCTATAAACGTTGGGACACTTGATACGACACGAAAATCTTATGAATATTATAATAGAAGGTAAGATAGAAGGATGGAGGGGAAGAGAGTGACCAAGGCATAGTTACATCAGGCAGATCAAGGAAGGAGTTGGTGTCGTGTCGTATCAAGAGGTGAAGAGGCTCGCTGAAAATCGTAGTGAGTGGCAAGAGCTCCACCGGCAAGAGCGAAGCTCTTAAATAGGATAGATAATGTGTGACAATTAAATGGTAATCCCGCCTGCGCTTTCAGTATACGCTGGCAGGGGACCATTGAAGGATGATAGGTGATGATGAAAAGGCAGGTCAGTAAGTCCATCGTGACGAATACCACTAGAATGACAACGGTTTCCAGGCTTATGTCCAACAGTGGACAGTTAAGGGCTAAAATAATATTATAATATCACGCATTTAAAAAAAAGATAGGTAGATAGATAGATACACTTTATTGTTTCCTCCAAAAGATTACAATAGTAAACTTATTATAAATACAAACAATTACAAGAAATAATCACAGTGAGAAACAATGGGCGACATTATCGCTAAGAGCGATCTCTTCCAGCCAACCTTTGGATGGAGAGGAGTAATTATAAACAATTTAGTAGGAGGCACGATGAAAAGTTTTGTCAGTTCTAAATATGGGAGATGTGATACATATAATAATATAAATATTATCCCTACTCATTATTATATATATATATATATATATATATATATATATATATATATATATATATATATATATATATATATATATATATATATATATATATATATATATATATATATATATATATACACACACGCAATCCTTTTAGAAACCATTGTGATTGATTCTTGTACCTACAACTTGTACCAACTGAGCTGCTTCGTCCTCGCCTATCATCTTTCACTGGTGTCTCGCCAGCCTATACCGATAGCGCGGGCGGGGAAACATTCCATTTGTTAACTATTAAATGTATCTAATGATATTTTGGAATGTTAATAAATAAATAAATTTGTCACATAGACTACTGACAAGTTATAAATATTTATTGTAATGTCACATTT